GAGGAGGGGGAAGGAGGAGGAGGAGGAGAAGGAGGAGGAAGATGAGAAGGAGAGGAAGGCGGGAGCAGGAGGAGCAGGAGGAGGTAGAGGTAGAGCAGGAGCAGGAGGGAGCAAGAGCATGGGCAGGAGGAGGCATGGCCGAAGTTTTTTCCGTCCCGCCGCCGTCGCCGAGCGGCCTGCCGCCGACAGCCCCCGCGGGTGGGTGGGTGGGTGTTGCCGTAGCCTCTCTGCCCTCTCCCTGTTTCCCCCTCCCCCCCTTCCCCGTCCGTTCCTCCCTGCCCCGTTTCGCCCCTGCCCCTCTCTCGTTCCTTTCTCCCCGCTCCCCGGCGGCCATCGGGACCGATTCTTTCCAGGGGCGGCCGATGCAGGAGCACGAAGGCAAGGGGCTCCGCGTGGACCCACCGCCCTCGTAGGCGTGGGATTGTGCTCTTGTCGGCCACATCGCCGAGGCACCCTTCCTACCACGTGGCATGATGTGGTATCCTCCTGGCGAGGCCGCGTTGTGTGTGTGTGTGTGTGCGTGTTCACTTTGGTCGATTTGTTCGGCGGGACCGTTTCCCCTTGGATCACCCTCCCCAGAAAAAAAACAACAACTCTGCAGCGCCGCCATCTCTGGACGTGCTTGCAGCTCCACGGCGGCCCCATCGGGAGCCCCTTCCGCTGGGGCTCCTTCGGTGATTGCCCCCTCGTCGTCGTCGTCGTCGTCGCCGTCGTCGTCGCCATCGTCGTCGTTGCCCTCCTCCTCGTGCGCGGTTGGCGTTGCGCACAGTCAGGCCGCAGAGCTCCAAGAGGGGCTCTGGTGTCCGGGCCGCTCCTCAGCTCTGGGTCGGGGGGCCAGCTCGCAGCGAGCTCCAGCCTGGCTTGCCAGAGGAGCCCTTTGCTTCCTCGCTCCGCGCTCCCTGCGCCGGCACGATGACTGTGCGACCCTCGCGCGGGGCCGAGGTGCTCCCCAGGCTCTGGCCCAGCCGCCGTGCCCTTCGCACTCCGGGCCGCCGTCCTGGGCGCGTGTCGGCGCGCCTCTCTGCCTCGCCCACGCCGGGTTCCGCTGTGGACTGGCGGCGCCCGTCCCGTCACTCCCTTGCGACAGTCATCGGCGCTGTGGCGCCCCCCCCTCCCCTCCCGCCTCGGGGCCTTCAGATCGGCCCAAGACGGCCCACGAGGCCCTCAAGAGGGCTCCAAGAGGGTCTAAGAGGACGACCCCAGATGGCCCCACGAGGGCGCCAAGAGGGCCCTGCTGGACCCCCCCGCCGATGTGCGCCGGGCGCCGTTCTGGCACGGCGCACTTGGACGTGTCCCCTCGTTTTGGCGTGTTTGCGCGGCGTGGCCGATCCCTCGTTGAATGCGGCTGGGGCCGCTGGCGGCCGCGCTGGTTCTCCGCAGGCCGTAGCCTCCCTCCCTCCGAAGCCGCCTCGCCTCCGCCTTCCGCCGCCTTCCCTCCCTCCTTGCCAGCATGGAGCGCGAGGTTCCCCCAGACCTCTGACGCCATGATCTTTTCGCTGGTTGGCTCGCCCTGAGCTTCAGTTCCGTATTCCGATGGCACGGCCGTGTGGTGATCAGATGTGAACAGGTGTTCGGGTGGTCACCCGATGCCGATTTGGGAGCTCGACTTGGATATGGGACATGGGGTAGTTTTCACAAGCGCCCCAGCATGCGTCACCCAAGCTCCCTTCAGTCCCAAAGATACGTGTGGTGTTTTGAGCGCAACCAGCCTATGTGTGTGTGGAGTCGGTTCCCCAGACGCGCACAACACGAGTGCTTGCTTTACGGCTTGCGCTTTGGAGCTCTCGATCCCATCCTTGGGACTGCCTCGCCACCGCGGGCTATCTTCTGCACGCCCTGGGGCCCAAAGGCGGCTCCCAGACGTCGTGATCACAGTGACGTGCACGGCGTGCTTTCTTTCGCGACGGCCCCCTGCTCTGATGCCGATGTCCGCCCCGCTTTGCCGTCGCTGTTTCCGCCATACCTTCACGGAAATATCCGCCTTGTGTTATCGAATGGCCTTCGTCTTATCCCGTCACCGTGCTTGGGTTGTGTGCCATGGACTTCCAGGATGTTCGCTGGGATGTCGCGGGGGGGCCTCTGGGGGGCCTTTCGGGGGCCGTTTTGAGGCCGCGTCGCTGAGCGCCTCACGTTTGGACCCTGGGTACGGTAGGTTCATGCGGCGCTGGCGCGCCAGCGACGCTGGCGAAGGCGTTCAAGGCGTTGAAGCCTGTGACTCGGAAGCAACGAGGGACACGGTAACGCCACCACTGGACCCGACGGAATTCAGCCTCGAACGGTCGGGGCCGCGATCGATTCAGGGTGGAAAAATCAACGCGGTGTCAAAAACCTCTGCGCGCGCCGACGGCTACCCTCCCAGACATCCGGCTACTTAAACTTTTTCGATGCGTGGGCCGGTCTTTCGTCCTGAGTCGTTTTTGGACGGTCCTGAGGCCCAGCGAGGGCCCCCGGAGGCCGAAATCAGCCCAAAAAAACGCCCGCTCAAATCTTTGTTGGAGCGTCGGATCTCTCGGCTTGCGTCCTTCCCGTTCGGCCCCTCCTTGGCCGCCTTCGCTGGCCGCGCCCCGCTCGCAGCGTGTCGGCATGGCCCCTTCGCAGAGCCAGGAGGGAAAACACACGGAAACAATGGATCGTCGATTCCCCCGGAAATATGAGGACATATGGGAAGTCGGGGGGAAGACGAAAGTAAAGAAAAATGAAAACTATTCGGAATCCATGGGACCTGAGTGTCTTTCTCTGTGTGTCCCCGGGCCCCTTCGCAGAGGGTCGGCCCTGGCTATTCGTGCCGTGCCGGCGCGGCGGCGACCCGTGGGCGCGGGCCTGCGAGGCGTTGGACCCGCCGCCACCGGTCCAGAGCCGGCCGGCTTCGGAGGGCCTGTGGAGGAAAGTCGGCAGGAGCGAAAAAGGGGTACGGAACGAAATGGGTAAACGATGCCTGGCAGCAGTTCTTCTGTGCATTCTGAACAGGACCGGCTGGCCGCGCCGCCGCGGTCTGTGTCCATTCGAGACGTCTCAAATCACGTCCATTTGAGAGATCCCCGACCGATGCGATCACGCCCGCGACCCGCTCGCGCCCGACCGACGTAGTATCTGCTGGAGTCATGCCCGCGACCGTGCCGCATGTTTTGCGTGTCGTGCGAGGTATAGATCGCCGCCGATAGCAACGATAAGATTTTGGTTTTCGGCGCCTGTTGTGCATTGGTTTACTCTCGAATGCATCGTCGTCGCTACCATTATTGACGTTTCACCGCCCTCCTTGCACTCGAACTGCTCTCGTCTGTGGGCGGCTGGAGAGACGGAGGGCGAGGTAGTGGGTGTCGTCCTTCGCCCTGCCTGTTGGCCTTCGAGCCCCCCCAGTTCTCGCAGGGGGGCGAATTGGGGTGGGGGGGTGTTAAATTCTCCTCAGAGACAGAAGGCCCCCCTGCCCAACAGCGGCCGCTGTTGGTATGGGACAACATTTGTTGTTGGGCATTGTACCCATTTTTCCGCACCAATTTCGGGCGTCCACAATGGAGACGTAGCCTGACTTAGGTTCCCGTTCTTGCACCAGGGACAATATGAATTTGGGTAGTGTGGTCCGATGCCTCAGCTGAAGCAAACAAAACAAAACACCTGCGTTGGGCCTATTGTGAGTGGAAAAACACCTGCGTTGGGCCTTTTTGCACTGAGGTCCGCTGACAAAGGGCTAGGGGTCCTTCAGCTGCTGATCAAGAGCGTGCAACCAGAGAGAGCTGCGATCGTATTGGTAAAGTTTCGGGCTGCGCGCAGACAGCCAACCCAGACAGTCCTGGCTGGCCTCAACAGGCCCCCCGAGCAGTCCGGGGCGGTCTCAGCACCCCAACCCTGGGGCGCGGAGCGTCCCGTTGGCGGCGCCAGATGCAACGCCAGGGTGCCGAGACCGCCCTGGACTATTCGAGGGGCCAGTTGAGGCCATCCGGGACTACCTGGGGGACTGTCTGCGAGCAGCCAGGGCCCTACCAGATCGTATCGTTCACGTCAAGCGATCCACGCGCTGTCAGAAGCTAAAGGCGTAAGTCGTCGATTTTGCTCGCCTCGCCTCGCTGCGCCGACCCAGCCTCGCCCAGGTGGGCATGCCTGGTGCCGATTGCAGCTACTGCTGCAAGGAGGCCGCGTTCCCCGCGCGCGCCGCAGTCCACGTGGGGCAGCAGCAGGAGGGGGGAGGGGGAGGAGGAGAGGAGGGGAGG